GGGGGACACCCTGAAGTGGTCGCCAGCCAATCGCACATAGTTGAACACCATGCCATCCCTATTCGACAGTCTATCTACTTTAAAAATGTATTTGGATGCCGATGATTTTACTTTGACTGCGGCCACTTGATGAAAAAAAAAATGTTGTAGATTCAACACATTTTTTTTTCAATATTGTGTGCTCTGTCAGAAAAATTAATGAGTTCACATTTTGCTGTAAATCTATGGCGAGATAGGGCAGCATGGTGGTCAATTGGTTCACACGTCTACTTCACAGTGCGATTCCAGCCCCGGCCTTCCTGTGTGGAGTTTGCATGTTGTCCCCTCGCCTGCGTGGGTTTTCTCCGGGTACTTCAGTTTCCTCCCCAATGCCAAAAATGTGTGTGTGTGTGTGTGTGTGTGTGTGTGTGTGTGTGTGTTCATTGAAATGAAATGTAATTGACCAGAAAAGCGATTAGGTAAACTGTTGCAGCACAAATTAAAAAATACATGTATCTACATAACTGCAATTTAAACATTGTTAAAGTCAGATTAGATTCCTGTGTCTGACGTCACACAAATGACAGGTGTACACCAGGACAGTGTGGGGAAAAAAATTCACTCTTTTTCGACACAACCTGTCCAGGCACATTGTAGCTCTTACGGCACTATAAAGCATAATGTGTTTGTGTATTTTTGTTATGCATTCATTATTTCATATATTTATAGTCACCAAAGCACACAAAGCTTTCACAGTTGTCAGGAAATTAAAAGATACAAAACATTTATGCAATTGGGATGGGGTGAGGGGCATAGGCGGATGGGGCAATGGGCAGCAAAGATGTAATCAATCATCCCATTTAACTTTGGGCAATAAGTGTGGTACACCCTGGACTGCTTCATGAAGCACTTGTGATATTTTTTACTCCTCTATTTGGTGCTCATGATAAAGGCTAATCCACTGCAAATGTTTGAGCTTTCCACTGCATCTCTAAACCAAGCGAGCCATCTAGCGGAGCCAAACATTATCACAAATGTTTCATAAAGCTTCCTTCATTTGTCTGTCACTTAAATAAAATAAATGGTTTTGCTACAATTTTCAAAGAGTTAAAATAAATACTACAAAAAATGTCATCCATGTCACAAATCATAAATGTTTAAAATATCGCGAGTGCAAATAATCTACTGATTTTCAAGGGAGACATTTTAGGGTGCCGGTTAAAGAGCATGATTACTGCACATTAGTGTGTACACTTGCCTCTTGTCTAAAGACATGGTGGATAGGCTCCACTCCACTCAATTGCAATCATCAAGAGCACAAGCGCTATAGAAAAAGGATAGATGGACAAATTATTGCACAGGTGTGCCTTGGGCTGTTGTCGTAAGACGTCACAGCTACTTGCAATTATTGGTCCTCAACTATGGAGCAAACTGCCCGCTGATATAAGAAATGCCCCTTCAATTGCAATATTCTACGGAGCCCCTAAGGGGACATGGAAGGAAAAAAAAAAACTTTGCGAGATCTCGCAAAGTAATGCTAGATTTGATCTCGCAAAGTAATGCTGAGATCTCGCAAATTTTTTTTTTTTCCTTCCATGTCCCCTTGGGGCAGTGGTTCTCAATTATTTTCTGGCATGCCCCCCCCCCAAGAAGAAGAAAACATCTCGCGCCCCCCCTCATGACTATAAATACCTGTAGTATCATTTGTCTATAAAATTGTTGTAAGTACACCTCTGCATAACACTGTACCCTTATTAAGGTATAAGAGAATAAAAAAAGAAATATGGACCAACTTACAACAAAGAATAGCTTTATTAACTATCACAGAAGAGAGTTAAAGTGCATCTGAAATTCAAAAGTAAAATTAAATCCTTAATTTAACTATAAATATTTTTTGACGGACCAGGTCAAACCATACGATACTGAAAAATAAAATTACCGGTAGATAAAATCAATAAATAACAATGCATTTAAACTGATCACCAACATTAACTCAGGAGCACAATTTTAAAAAAACCTTTCACCTGCAAAACAAAAATATATAAAATAATTTGTGCATTTTTTTTTTAAATCAAAGATGATATCTGGATTAATGGCTACCAGTAGCAGTCACAAAACGGGATGATTGTTGGCAATATTCGGCACGTTTTCTCTGAAAAAAAACCTCTTATCAACGAGATTGGGGTGTAATGTCTTTAAGTAACGCCTTAATTCATTTGGCTTCATGCTGTCCGATGTCTTTCCTCCCACCGTAGTCACAGTGAAGCCAAGTGCTACATACGCTTCGTCATATTTACTCATCTTCGCTTTCGGTAGACCTCTTTTCTCCGTCTCTCTCTCTCCGTCTGTCGACTTCGTGTCAACACTTCATACTCTGTGCCGTGTGCAAAGCGCGCATGCTCAGTGCGAACAAAACATCGAGCGAATGCTCCCTGCGCACTCTGCCAAGTTGCGCGCCACTGCCCCCTAATGTATTCGAGGTGCAATTCCACTTTATTCTAGGACAGTTTAAAAAAAAACAAAATAAAAAAGCATGTTCCCCGAGGCCAAACGCGCCCCCCCTGACGGAGCCTCGCGCCCCCCCAGGGGGGCGCGCCCCTATTTGAGAACCACTGCCTTAGGGGCTCCGTAATATTCTAATCCAGGCTCGAAACAAACATTTTTACCCTGGCCTTTCCCAGTTGCAGTTTTAGTTTAAACATCTGAAAGAAGTAAAGAGTAAAGTCAAAGATTAAATAGTTTTCTATTTTATTGATTTTAAACCGTTTTATCAGCTAATGCAGGATGTACAGCGCTTTGATTTAGTGCGATCTGGGTTTGAATGTGTAACACACACACACACACACACACACACAAATTATCCCAGGGCTGGAAATGTGGGTAAAATCTTAATTCTTTTTTTTCTTTCTCTGATGATACTTCATAGAAAAATACGTTGACTGAAGGGACTGAGAAAGTACACATTCTCACACTTAAATTTGGCGTAAAAGCTCTACCGAGGATACCGTTTTTGCACCAGGAAGTGTCTCCGTCACACACGATATTCATTGCTGAGCGTTTAGCCTCACCGTGTGGCCAACATTTGTTATTGCGACAGGAGGGTGAGTTTTCTGTTGCCAAGCAACGGTCAATGCGCAGAACAAAAACAGCTTCACGGATCAGAGGATTACGGTTTTATCAATTGAGCGCTGGTTGTATTTGCAAAATGGAGGCAAAGGAAAAAGATGTGGTCCATCAGGATGCAATTCATGTCGAGATGATACGGAAAGAGCAAAGACAACAAAGACTCTACGTTGAGTTTAGCATCAATCCACACAGGAAGTGTACGTCACTCAACTTTTACAAAACGGTTCTATGTATACAGTATTAGATATTTGGCATACTGGTAAATACACATAATTATTGGTGGCGTGTTTTTGTCAAAGAAATCACTCTGTTTTCTCTCCTATCATGACTTTCAGTACACATCCTACCAGACAAACCCATGAGCAGAAAACCACAAGAAGTGATTCCAGAAAACTGTGAGTTGACCATCATTCGCTTTCATTTCAGTAAACGTTGAAACCGGCTGTCCTTCACATGCTCAGTTCTTTTTTGAAAAACATGTATTTTGCTTGCCTCAATATGTACTCTATTTGTAGCCACGCCAAAAGGGGTGCCTGAATAATTTAATAGGTTTCAGTCGAAGAGCTGTGTCTAACTCTGGCTCCATGAAAATATTAATGATGACATTAGAGTGTTTCTTCCGCTGAAACCGTGTGCTCACCTGGTCAGCGAAGTATAGGATTGACTGTTGGTCCATTCTTTCACATACTCTTTTTTTTTTCCAAATGACAGACCAGCATTTCTACTTCTGTGGATATAGTTCCTATGAAGCATGAAAAAAAAGTTGACGATATTGCTGATTGTGCACTTTTCTTTTCTCAAGCCGACTTCATCGAAGCATTCCACAAAGCTCGCCAGGTGCCCACGAAGAAATATGCCATGCCACTGACTGAAAGTCAGGAGATCGGGTGGTTGTCGACAGCCCTGGTGAGGATGTTTAAAGTTTAAAGATGAAAGGACAGTTTGGAATTGGTTTCCCTGCAGAACTAAGTCCAGATGTATTGTTTTGTCCCCAGATTCCAACAAATCGCAAAGACAACAGATTCAATTTCTTCCGACACAGCTCAGACATCACCGAGCACCAAGAGTCTGTTCTGCGCTTTTCAAAATAAACCGAGGGCAAAAGCAACCGCCAGTTTTTGATGGACAGTTAAATGATACAAGAACATTCCTTTTCAAATGACTAAAGATATTGTGATGAGACAAAGATGAATAATTTTACAACCTTTTCCATCACTGGTACATGTACAACTTAATTAGGGAAAAATATCTTTTCAAAAGAGAAAGCAAAACTGAACCACTGAAATAACCCTCTTTTAACATGGAATGTGGCTATGTTCAGAGTTAACCAATTGCACTCAAGCATGTTAAAGGCCCTATTTTGAGCCCAATCTACTTTTTTGAGCTTTTAGCCATGTTAAAATGCTAATTCCTCCCCCAAAATAAAGACAAAAAAAAGTTTTCCACCATACACCCATCTCTGAGCATTCCTGCTCTCTAAGCACCAGATCATGATCATTTCAGGCTTCTACAGACCTTGCTGATGAGCTGATTGTTTGAATCAGGTACATTGGTTCAGAGAGGGATCTAAAACAGGAAGGATATGGCTGTCACGGAACTGGAGTTCCCTATTCCTGCTTTACAGAGTGTTATGCAACAGTTTGTCCTTGACAGATGTTAATAAGCCAAGCTTTGGTCAACGGAGACATGTCGAATATGCAGAGGGTGCGCACGTTCTTGTGATCTATCTTGATAGCTTGTTTCGAAGCCGCCATTGCGTGAACTCCATTGCGTGAACTCCATTGCGTCAAGTTACAATCAAACATGGCAAAATGTTAAAATTACTTTTTACATTTTCTAACTATTATTTAAATTGTTGTGTTTAGTCTGCAAGTATTCAATGAGACAACTGGAAATACAACAAAAGGGAGCTGTTCTTTAATTTTACATTTTTATGGAAAATCAGACTCATCATCATAATTGGTTATGGTCTTTTTCCACCATCAAGTTTCAGAGGAGACCCTACTTTGTCAGAAACAGATCGAGAAAACCAGTACAGGCACATGGTCTCTACAAATGAATCTTGGCCATCCCGTAAGAACCATACGAATTGAAGAAAAAGGTCAAAAGTGATCGTCACCAAGTATTTTTAAAATACCCGACCGAAAAAAAAAAGTAGAATAAGGAGGGAAAGTCAATGTGGATACTCACATGTAATCACATAATCAGACCGTCCGTTATGACATTTAATAATCAGAATGGTTTAAAATGTCTTACCTACCAAGTAAGAAGTTTTACAAAACATATATCGGAGTCTCACAAGTGTGATCCCCCCCTAAAAAAGGATTGGGTTCTCGAAACCACAACTGAAAGTCTTCCTCCCTTGATGCGGCCTGATGATTAGGCGATGCTCTTGCTCAACAACTTCCACTTGGGCAGGGGGCAGTTTGAACAAAATGTCACAAAGAAGTCAGAGTTCCTAAGGAAGGTCAACTGTGAAGAAATCCACCTGGAAGCAAAGTTCAAGACCTGAACAGCCTCGATGTGTTTTTTACGAGCGACCCTTCATCTTCCTGCGTACTGACTTCCCTGGACGTTTCTAAAAGAAAGTATGAAGAAAAGCAAAATCAGCATCTTAAAAATGCAGACCTATACCTACCTGTCTTTCCGTTTTATTGCCACAAGTGTTTGTTTAACTTACATTTTGTTTTCCTCCTTTGCCTTTCTTCTTTCCTTTTGCACCCTTTGCATTAGCCACTTTAGCGCGGAAACTGGAAACGTCATTGTGGCTTTCTTTCGTATTCCACTTCTTTCCACTCTTCTTGCCTCCAAAGCCAAACTTCTGGTCCTTATATTTTCTCTTGGCACTGGGGCTATTCAAGGAGCAGTCACATTTAAAGTCTCGAGTCTGAGAGGCATTTAACTACTGTGACGGCTGATGGCAAGTGCTGAAACACCTTACCCCTTCTTGTTCAACGCCTTCTTGGAGCTCTGAGAAGTGTCTTTTTTGGGTGCCTCTTGGTCTCCCTCCAAGAAATCCAACTTGTCAGTCATTCCTGAAAGTGGGAGGATCAGAACACTTTCAACTTGCATCCATCAGACGCCTGTTTGGTACTTAAAGCAAAATAAAATGTGCTAAACTGTTGAAGAAAACAGAATTCCCCTGACCAACCTTTCTGGTATTTCTTCACAGCAGTCATCATTGCCTTCTTCTCCTTCTGTCTCTTCTGGAGCACTTCTATTTGCACCTAAGGTGCCAAAATACAGTTCTTAAAGACTTGACGACTGAATTGGACACCATTTTCCTCCACTTTAAAATTAAAGAACATTGAAAAGTCACCTTTTTGCCAAATTTCCTTTGCGCGCTTAACTTCTTTGCCTTCTCTGACCTCTCCATTATCGCCTGCTTTGCGAGCAGCTTCTTCCTGATCTGGAAGGTGGAACAGACAAGAAAAAGATGAGTGCGAAAATAGTTGAATTTGATTGTGAAGCTTAGATAAGTTCAAGAGTCACAGGAGTTGAGACAATCAGTGTGGCAAAATAATAAGTCCTTTAAGGCAACACAGAAAAGCACATGTAAGTCGCATTTTGGACTGCAAATTTCTGGGAATTCTTAAAATGGGAATTAACATGACAAGAAATGGAAATGGACATCACTGCAGTTCAACCTAAAACAGGAAAAGCACGGCACTTGCAATTGAAAAACACCCAGAAGCCTTATCGTTATGTTTTATCTGGACCAGTTTCATGCAAAAGCAGTTGAATTTCCACCTATGATGTATATTACTAATACTCCCCGAATCGTGCAGCTACAACAGTACTGAAGCTGTATTGCATAGGACACCAAACAATGAAATGTACAGTGCCGTGGAAAAGTATTTGCCCCTTCCCGATTTTTTTTTTCATGTTATCACACAAAGATTTCAGTCCATCAAACCATTTTTAACATCACACAAAGACAACCCAAGGATATACAAAATGCAGTTTCTGAATGCCAATTTATTTAGACAAAAAAATTCCAAACCTGCCTGTCCCTATATGAAAACGTAATTGCCCCCCCGAACCTTAAAATGGGTTGTGCCACTCTTGGCAGCAATAACTGAAATCAAGCGTGTGCGGTGTGTGGTGATGTCTTTCACATTGCTATGGAGGAATTTTGGCCCACTCTTCTTCACAGAATTGCGCAGAATTACATTTTCACAGAGGGACAGGTAGTTTTGGATTTGTTCCTTAATTTAGAAACAGCATTTTGTATTTCCTTGGGTAGTCTCCGTGTGATGTTAAAATTGGTTTGATGAACTGAAATCTTTGTATGTGATAAATAAGGCGAGAACACAGACATCAGGAAGAGGGAAAATATATCTAAATGTGCATCTTAGCATGATGTGTTGCTTATGACAAAAATGTCCATATTTGTTAATGATCAAGTTTGTATAAATTATTATTAATTTCCCAATAGCTCCACTCTTAGGAAGTGTCAGGCTTTTAATCGTTTCAGTTTCTAAGGTAAACTTCCCATTGCAACTTTCCACCCCCTTGTCATCTCAGTCCCAATAAAGTAAAGAGAAGTCAAGTCACCTTCTGCATGTGCTGATCAGACTTGGCCATCTCAGCAAAGTAGTCATCAGGCCTCTTGGTGGGAATGCCATGCTTGTTCAAGAGAGGCAGAGCCTCAAGAACTGTTGCTTGCGCCTGACGGTAGCTGTGAAAGCATTTAACAGAGCAAATCAACCATTTCAGTCCCAAGCTGGATGGCCTGTCAGACAGCTTTTCAGATATGGACTGCAAACTTAAATGAGACCATACTGAAAATTCCATGACACGGCCCACGAGAAAAATGTACAGACTAAATGAACTCAATATATCTTGAAAAGCCTTTGAACGACTGAAAAAGAATCACAAGTATACAACAGTGTCCAGCAAGACGTCGATAATTTGGACCAATGTTCTGAACTGAACCCTTGAATACGCTTCACCAATGGAATGTGTAATGATGCTGAGTTCAGGAAACTGTTATAGTGATGCATGTTTGCAAGTCATGTTCTTTATAGTGTCAGTCTTGCTTGACAGAACATTTAGAGAAAGAGACACAGCTCATGTGACAATAGGATGAGAAAAGAAAGGAGCTGCACATTTTACAATCAGTATTCTTCAAAAATAGTCCAAATCTAAGTCAGAAAAAAAGTGCAATTTCAACAAATAATACTTTTCATACTGTACTAATAAAATGACCATCTTAATTCTAATTGAACAATACCCTCCCCTCCCACTAGAATCATGACTGGTCTTGTTCGGGTCATCGAGTGAGGAAGATACACTCCCACAATTAGTGATGTCCATTCACACTTCACAACAATAAAAATAGCTTTAAGTAAACTATAAGGCGGAGAAAAAAAAGTGGTGTTTCCGGTAACCCGACCGACCGAGAATTTCTACGTCGAAAAAAACTTTACGGTCGGCATTTTTTTTCAAACAACCCTCTACATTTTTGTGTAGAGGGTTTACATCAGTGCAAACTCTCGCGATATTCACGTTGAGCGCGCGCGTCGTTTGCCCTATCGTCTGTCAACAACATTGAATCATGGCGGCGGCCGCAATCTCCGACGGCAGTTTAAACCGCGGTTTCTGTGTTACAGTCGCATGCTCGCACCGTAATGTTAAGAAAATAGCATCCATTGATGATTCGAAAAAATTCAGCGAACTATTTGATGAACACCACGGGCCGAGTAAAAACCGAGGGCGGAGGAGGACGGCGGAGGAGGACGGTGGAGGCGGCGGCACCCCGCCGACCCGCGCATCCGCGCGCTCGTCGAAGCACCGTCCGCCCAGTTTACGCAACTCTCGTCCAGGCCGGGCCCCGGCCGGCGTCGGGGACCTCTCCCCGTCGGTGCCATCGCGACCCGGCCGACCTCGGAACCTAACACCCAACCGCCGGGTACCCAACTCTCTCGCTGCCTTAGGCGGCGAGCGGGGGGTTCAATGTCTCCTTGTTTTATGTTTTATGGTTATTTTATTTAAATTTTTGATGGAAAAAAAAAAGATTAAAAAAATAAAAAAAAACTTTGTCCGACCTACCGACCCTATGCTGAAATTTCATGTTACCGGAAACACACTATCTTTTTTGTTTGGCCTAAGGATTGTTTACTCTATGCACTTCCATTACTTCTCCTACTGTGTTCATTGTAAAAACTATGTTCAAATAGTTTGCGATCTTTTGTTTATAGTTGTGTTTCCACAATTAACCGTAAAGGCAAATGAAATGGTCAGAATGAGTTCTTTTGGGATAATGTTTGAAGAAAAGCTAACAAACAAAATATAACAGTAAAAATGAGAATTCATCCATAAATCCATCCATTTTCTGCACTGCTTGTCCTCATCTGGTTCAAGGTATGTGGAGCCTATATCCAGCTGACACTGGGCAAGAGGGTTACACCCTGGAGAGACCATCAGCCAATTGTAGGACTCGTTTTGTCAAATGTATTCTCACCCTTTGACAATTTTACCAGAATGCAGAAGGAAGCTGCAGTACTCCATGGAAGCATGGGACAGATGTATGATCCCGGTACCTCTCACCAGTGTGCCAAGTACCACTAACCTACCTTGCCACTAAGAGAAAGTCACTGCTTGAAAATGTTTACTTGACACTCACAAGAACATCTCCCTCTGGAAATCATCATCTGCATTGACTTCTCCCTTGATGCCAGTTTGCATATTCCCTCCAATCTTTGCGATGACGTCTTCAACAGGCAGGTTGGTGAGATCCAATCTCTCCGCCCAGGGCAGGTCTTTCTTCAAGTCATCTAAACACTGTTTCATGCCTGCCTGCATGGAACAATAATGTTATTTGAATGAGTCATGGACATAGTTTAATTCAATTTATACAAACAAACAGATCGTCACATAATATTACTCACCACATTGTTGACGAATTTTTGGGGTTTGTCCACCCTCACGTTCATTCCGGGCTTCAACAAGCCTTTTGCGAAAGCTTCTTGGAGCTAAACACACAACATAGACGACATGGTAATAATTATTCCAAATGTGGTTCTTGCAAACAATTGGTGGTTCAATGAAAGGCGAGTGATGAACGAACATTGTCGTGTTACAGCATCAACGATGTTTCAAATGATTTAGTTTTTCAGAGCGAAAACCATTGTACAGTTTATATTTGGGTTGTCTTGAAAGGTTTTAAACGGATGATATCTTTACAATTATAAACATACTGCATACAAGAAAAATCCCACCGCATGATCTGATGTTCTGGCTTGCTAACGGTTAGCCGACTATGTCAAGATTAAGAATTTACCGCGTTGTCTGACAGGTCGCTGTTTTCGTCTTCTGAATCCTCACTGAACATCTCGTCCTCCTCCAGTACCTCCATGATCTCACTTGCAATAACCATATAATCAAAACAAATGATCAAATTATCCTGGTTACGAAGGGACGCAGAGTGCACTCAGGCCACACGTTTAGCACTCACGCCAGTTCACGTGGGGTGGAAGAGCTTGTGTTTGTGGTGCTACAAAAATAGCCCGTCGATGGAGAAACGTGTTTGACAAACGTTCCTATATGAAATTTAAGGGAGCAAAACAAAGCTTGAGGAATAAATATAAAATCAAAAAATTAAAACATAATTTAATCTGGTAAGAAAACTCTTACACAATATGTAAAATCGTTTTTGTAGTGCTAAAAAAAACTGTCGTTACTAGTGAGCCTAATTTGAAATGATTTTCAGTTTAACAATAATGTCACTTTTAATTAATCAATTAATTCGTTAATTCATTCATTTTTCGATCCGCTTTATCCTCACTAGTGTTGCTGGGGGTGCTGGAGCCTATCCCAGCTGTCATAGGGCAGTAGGCGGGGGACACCCTGAACCGGTTGCCAGCCAATCACAGTTTTATTAATTCACATGCCAATACTCTCTCTCTCTCTCTCTCTCTCTCTCTCTCTCTCTCTCTCTCTCTCTC